CTATATCCAATGGTTGTGTGTGTTTGCATTGGTGCCTGTGTGTTTGTGGTAGCCTGTGCATGTGTGTGTGTGGCCCTTATCCAAACGGACATGGGGAACAAAGCAGAGCTCTCAGCATTGCACTCAAAAGCCGGCCAGGAAGGAAAGGGAGACTGATCATAATAAGACTTCTTTCAAAGTCAGAGTCAAGGACATCTTCAGTGATGATGCTATGAGATGGGGGCTGATAAAAAAAAACGTGTGATTTATTACAGCTTCCTCTCTTATGAGTTATCCTTGATTGTATATCTATGGCGTGAAAAGACAGCATAATGACATCTGTACGGAAATGAACATTCTATTAATGGAGCAGCTCATTCAGACTGCAAACTCTTTACTACATGAAAGTTGAGAAAAGTGATCCATCCCAACTTAAATGTTCCTTTTTAGGCTCCATCTTGAAGATCTCATGAAATGGTCTCTTGAACTTCCTGGAAAACTGCTACTTCCTCAGTCGTGACTAGTGCAAATAACTAATTACACCTTTCTGCCTGATCTATCAAATGAAACTGCATCTCTCTCCATAACTGACAGCTCATTGAGCATTCACCATCTAATGGTCCACCCAAACATCCCGTTTTAAAAGGAAATTAGAAAGTGATGATTTGATTTCATGGATCTTTTGATATTTGAAAACAAACACTTACATCCTGGTTGGACATGTCCCAGTACGGCCTTTCTCCAAATGACATCACTTCCCACATAACGATGCCGTAGCTCCACACGTCACTGGCCGAGGTGAATTTTCTATAAGCAATGGCCTCTGGTGCCGTCCACCTCACTGGGATCTTCCCGCCCTAAATAAAGAAGAAAGAGACAGAAAGTGGAATGAGAGATGTCTGGGATCTAACACAGTTTATTGGCAGCATTGTTTTCAGCGGCAGCAAATTAAACTCAGCAATTACTCTCAATGCCACTGCGCTCTCCTCAGCTGTCTTCCTCTGTCCATCGAACTTTTTATCCCTGATCCACCCAGTGCATCAATCCTCCAGCAGCCAAAACATACACAAGACTCTGCCTCTGTCTCAGCAGCGACTCCCAACAGCGTCTGCCCTTCACTCATCGACCAGCATCACATTTAGCTTCTCCTCCCTCACAGCCCTGTTTGAATAAAGGCACATAGGCTTGGGCTTCTGCCTGCATATTGAGTGTGTCTGCCTCTAATTGGACTACCTGGGCCTCAGGCATGCCACGCGCACTGTTGATTGAAATTGACAACTGGTTGTTTAAAATTCCAAATACACAGACATATATGGACACACATGTGAGTGTATGGACAGGCTCACACAAACAGACAGGACCCCCACAGTTTAATAATGCCAGTTAGCTGAATCTGAGCATTTGCAGATAAGCCGCTGCTGGAAACAAACCCAAACTCAG